AGCGTTGGCCGCCGGTAAAGGCCTTTTCTGATAGGCTGTTTCAAATCCCGCCGAACGCTTCGAGTTTTTTTACAATTGGGTCTACGCAAATTAAGCAAATTTGCCAAACCTCCTAATAATTAAGTCAGTCTAGTTCATTCTGGTGGATTCTAGATGATTGCTTAGGAAATCCTGCTTGGGCAGTTAACTTGCTTTTACGTATTGGTGGATTCCATATGGGCGGTAAAGTTAGGCGGGTAATATCGACCCAAGTGTGATAACATTCATGGCGCGAGGCGGGGCGTTTGTAGCTTAGTGGTTAGAGCGTTGGCCGCTAGTAAAGGTCTTCTCTGATACGCGTGTTCAAATCCCGCCAAACGCCCCGAGTTTTTTTTTCACAATTGGGTCAACTCCAATCGCAATATGCATTATATTGAAGAACAATCGTTACTTTATTGTTGTAAGAATTTGGGGCCCACAGTTTCGGTTGCGTTTGGGTAACAGGAAGTTTCTTGTTAAAAATCCTTGTGTTTCATGTGTTAGCCCACCCAGTGTAGATACATTTATATCGCGTTCATCATCTCTCGAAGGGGACAAAAGGCCAATTTCCCGGACCGAGTTATATTTATACTGACGTTTCAAAAACACACACGTTTCCACCTCCAGAGTGTATGGCGTACTCGCTCACAGGTTCACTCGTTCCACGAACCCCTAACCTTCTTCCCCCTGTTCAGAAGATGCTGAATGCGATATGATATCTGGAATTTTGAATTTTTGCTCATGTATAAGATAAGAATTACTGATACAACCACAGTAATCGATATAATTTAGAAAACTTCCGGTCGACGTACGTTTTTGCGCTAAATGATTTGATGCAGTGAAGAATAATGAGTACATTTGAGCACATCTTAAAACGTTTTAGCGAACGCGGATTGTAGCTTGAGTCTGAATCTTAAATTAACCATCCCGATAATTGACCTTGCTGGTGAAAATTGTACTTCACAGAGACGAATTGAGCTTTGCTATTTTAAGACAAAATCTTTTTAATCGCAGTAAAAATCTTTGAAAAGCGCATTTAAAAATAATGGTACCTTGACAGTTAAAGCAACAGTCTGCATCTCTCGCAGTGCCTACAGTCACAGTTGCGAGAGTCAGAACCAAACTAATAAATTAATTTCACTAACCAATTCGATTCTGGACTAAATTTTTAATCCAATGAAAAAAATATTGGGCGTATTTGATGAAACTTCTGAAAACCTTTCATTAGACGGGAATTATTGCTTGATTCTGCGTTATCTAGATAGCTGACGCTGCTGCTTAAAATGCGACTTCATAGAAGCGAGTTATTCTTTCCTATTTGAAAAGAATGTTTCAAAGCGACTGGGTCAATCCTTTTTAATGGCGGCAGTCAAATTTACGAGAGCCAATTCTCTGCATTTAAAACCAACCAATCATAAGCACTCGGCGTCTAGCGACACCTATAAATATAAAGCTACACCGAGAGAGAGAGAGAGAGAGAGAGCAATTACGCGTGTCGGACATCGTGTTCGCAGACTCAAAAATTAAGATTCCCATCTTCCTTTTGCTGTTTGTACTTCTCATTATTTGGCACTTTCGGTTTTGGATTAACAAACACGAAACTGTTTATTACTTTTCCGAGGAGAGTAAGCCTAGCCGTTGTGCCTTCTTCTTCTCCAATAGCGCGTCCAATGACCGCCATGAGTTCCAGCGCTTGACGCCACTGTACAGTACGGAGTACTTCCAGTCCCTAAATAAGGTCGCTGGCCAGTTTTGCAAGGCCTTCAAATGAGATCTTTTCCCTACCAAAGTTTCGGTTACAACTGAGGAGTTGCAATTGCCTCTTGGTTTCATACTCACTGTGTACAAAAGTATAAATCAGGTGGCGCGCCTACTGCGTCTCATACATCGGCCACACAACTTCTACGTCATTAACGTAGATAAGAAGAGCCCACTGGATTTCTATGTGGCAATGCAAGAGATCGCAGAATGCTTCGGTGCTAATGTTGCTGTGGTGCCTCGAAATGAGAGTGTAGATGTTCACTGGGGCGATTACACGGTTTTGAAGCAGGAACTTGTGGCGGCACGACTGCTCCTACAAATGGGGCAGTGGAGGTATTTCATAAACCTGACTGGACAGGAGTTGGCCCTCAAGACCAACCTGGAATTAGTCCTAGCTCTCCGTATGCTTAATGGTTCGAACATCGTGGAGACCACATATAAAAATCGCGTCAAAGACCGCGAGCCGAGACGTACACCATCGACCAGCAGAAGAAGATTCGATCGCTGCTATAACAGTTAGATTTGCCTAACGTTTCGACATCCGTCGCGGATTCTTCATCAGAGACGCGAGCAGAAAGCAACAAAACCATCATTCCCAGTAACCAATAAAATCTATGAATTAATAAAAACGTTCGCGTTCCAGGTATTTGCATGGAAGAGGAAGAAGGGTTGTCGAGCACCGGATAAATTTGTTTATTGTTCGGAGCTTTCGGGCTCTTGTTGGAGTCCGTCATTAGCGATAAAAACGTCCACCAAAAACAAGCAACAGTTATAAGGTAGAAGCCAATCAAACGTCATAGGGGGAAAGGGAGGGGGGAGAGAACTTATTTATCACTATTGTCGGCCGTGCGGACGTTCCTGCGGAGGGCGATGTATGCAGGCGCCACATCGATGCATCTGTTCACTGAGTTGTCATCCGAGGCCCAGGCTTCAATGAGTTCACGTTCGGTCTCGCTGTCGGCGTGAGCAATTATCCCCGTCACTGCGACGTTAAAGTCGTGGCCCGTCTCGTAGGTGTGGGCAGCCATTTGCGGCAATTCGTCACCCCGTATGACAACCAGCTTATGTTAGTGTATGCACGAATCCAGTATGCGTTTAGTTTGCCCGGTATAGTTAAAAGGACAGCTCCCTCCCCTCTTCCTCTCTCTCTAACCCCCTCCCCCTATGACGTTTGATTGGCTCCTACCCCCTATAACTGTTGCTTGTTTCCCGTGGACCCTTTTATATCTGACGATGGCCTCCCGCAAGAGCCCGAAAGCTCCAATTAAATTTATAAAATATGCTTTCTTCATGTGACTGTCAGGCATCAATCTAGTAGCTACTATCAAGAGCGAAAATCCCTTGCCTTCCCAAGGCATGGAAAATAAGGGGATATTTTAAAGAAACCTGGTCACATGGAAAAGGCCAGTTACGCAGTGTGTCAATACTGTCCCGCAACGCCAAATTAAGCCAGACACATTGGTAGGTTACCTTTTATATGATCTATATTGCATTCGCCTGTGTGAAGTTCAGCGCTGACCTAATTTGCCACAAAATGTGTACAAGAAACGACACTTGTGGGCATTTTTTTCTAAATAATATTTGTGATTTTATAGGGTGTATTCATAGGAGAAAAATGCATACCCCGTAAGTAGTCGTTTTCTACAGAGCATAGTTTAAATGGAAAGTCGCAAAGCGGCTCGTTCAGAAACCCACATTCAGTCGCGACGGAAATATATATCAAGATTCAGATGATGATTAAACAGTACGACCCTACTTAGGTAAGTTTACGAATCAAAATGCATGTGGGAATTTCAGTTGAAATTTGGCGGGGCTGGCGTGATGAGTTTGAAAATATCTTTTTCTAACGATAAACACTCAGAGGAGAAAAATATCGACAGGTTACGTCTCTTGGTGCTATTCCTTATTTTTGTATAGAGAATGGTGTATATTAAGGTACCCTATGATACTGAGATATCACACCCCCATTGACACACAGTTTCTCCACCAACTATATCCGCGCCTACAAAAAGTACTTGGAAATAATTGCCAGATGATGCCCTTACAAAAATCTTTCTGGAGATTTCCAGGAAAATTGTGTGCGAACAATATTGTTAGAGCTGACTGCAGTCATACTTTCATCCGCCTACACAATATCCCACCAACGGAAAACCGTAACTTACCGTGCTTTTACTGATTCTTATACACAAATCGTCTGATGTCTGACTGGTTCTCGTGAGTACCTTTCCTGTTCTCTGTAGTGGGAGAAGAATGAGTAGGAATGCACAGTCCTGCATATAAATTCAAATAAAAAGCCATTTCAGCAGTTTGCAGTCTGGTGAAAATTGCAAAGGTATCATCATCAACGCAGCCGAAATACTTTAGCTTACTGATGCAGTCTACATACTCGACACTCGTCTTGTCTGCTCACGAAAATAGTGTGTCTAGAAAACAATAAGGATTTGGCTCTAGGTAGTGTCGTCCAGATGGTAAAGCTGGGCCTTGTCAAAAGAATTAAAAGTTTAAGGTGAAATTGCGTTATAGCTCACAGCTTTCCTTTGTCGCTGCACGAATTACCGGCACTCTGGTCGGCTGGCATTTGCAGAGGTAATCCGCTTGCTCGGTAACCGACACGTTTCGATACGTTTAGCTGAAGGAGTAATATTTGTTTTGCCTTCATATATACGTACTGTTGGTTTAATGGTAGAGTGCTGCACTTAGTGACCAAAGGTCCCGGGTTCGAACCCTGGGTGATCCACACCTGGGATTGGGTATAATAAGCTGATGACGGCTCATATGCCAGAAACTACCATTTCGGTTCCACTCCATCATATGTCTGAAGTCGCTAAGCGACTGCCTACGATTGCCCTAGAAAGACATTCCAGACGCAACCAGACAAGTATCTTCCCTAACCAGTTAGATCGGTGAACACCCTACTTCCATACGTGTTATTATCTATGCAAACGCATTTGTCTTCATGTTTGCAAGTTACTCAAAATGGGCATTATATTCATACTTGTGCTGGTGCTCGATACAGCTGCGGTAATGCTTGATCTCACTGGCATTAGTGATGTCACGTGACGATAAGGGGCAGCAGAGCTGGCAGGCTCCCTCCATTCTCTTCCACAACTGCAGCGACCGAAAACCAAAAGTCAAGTAACCGGTTCTCTGTCTTGACGAACGGCGTCGAGCCAAGGCCGTACGTTCCCTCCTATTCGACGCCTATGGGTAGGTTGCAACGGACGACAATGAGAATACCCAACTCAATTCAGGCATCTTTCTTGGCTGGCCTGAGATATGTTGACGATACCGTCGCAGCGAGTGCGTACCAGCTCAGTTGAAATGAAATCAACATACTTGATTCAAAGAATGGTCCTGAGGCAGCTGTGGTCAAATACATCCAGTCTTTGCTAAGCTTTAGTGCGTAAAGCCCAGTATTCGCATCCATAGGGGAGGACTGACTGAACGGATGCGCGGTACGAACGATTCTTGATCGTGCTGGAGTTGTAGCGTCTGATCCATAAGCAGTTTGTAGGATTTAGAACACTCGGCGAGCAACGTCGATTCGGAATACAATGTCATCCTTAGCTTGTCCATTCGGTAGCAGCCTCACCCGAGCTGTCTACTTGCTCAAATAAACGGTCATTAGTCCCCAGATGTGCCTTCTCCTGACCAGGGATGCAGCTCGCAAATAACTTGGGCTTCCCGATATTTACTGATAAGCCAGTCGACGCTGTGATTTCATTCGATCGTTACCCTACAGACTGTAGGTCACCAGAGCTTGAAGCTAACGAAACGACATCGTCGGCGTTGTCGTGGTCACTCCGCTGGCGTCTGGGTGCAAAATCAGCACTTTTCCGAGAATACAGTAACTTGCCTAGTTAAACAAAGTGGGCGACAGGATGTGGCCTTGTCGAACTCCAAACCGTTTCTAGTAGCATTTGTCGACTATTCATCGACTATTCCTAGTCGGTCCCGTCGACTAAAAGTCGGCTACTTTGGCCAGAAAATAGTCGACTATTTCTAGTTGCCTAATAGTCAACTATTTCTAGTCCCCTAATTGTCAACTATTTCCAGTCGCCTAATAGTCGACTTATTTTAGTCGGTCTAGGCAATCGGCGGTAACTACGGTTTACGCTTGGCAGTGCATCCCTTTATTCGGCGAAAGACCACGTTTACACGTTTAACCCCCATCGAGTCGTAGAAAGATGAAGTCTGAAGTCTTCTATTACTGGAAAACTATGCGAACTATATGAACGTACTCACCGTCACTCATTGGGGCTACCTTTACCTTGAACAATTTCTTTACCACCGCTGTTGAGTCAGTTGGTAGTTCAGGTAACAGTGACTCAATTATATCAATTAGTTCGCGCAAATGCTTGTGCGGTATATGGTTTTGAACTGTTCATTCACGTATTAAATTAACGTAGTCCGTGGGCGCAGATTGAAGGCTATTTTCCCTACTCGTTTCCTCGATTTCGTCCTCCTCTTCCTCATCACCTGTAAGAACCCAATCAGAGTCACTTACGGTTGACGACGACTCACAATAATAATCATTCGATTCAGGAGGCGCTGTGCTCTCATCTCCTAAATGCTGTAGGGCACTCACGA